TATACTATAAGGCCACTGTAATCAAAATAGTCTGGTACTGACACAAGAATAGACACAAAGATAGGTGGAACAAAATAGGGAGCCAAGAAATAAACCCACATTTGTAGTAAATTAATACTTGACAAATGAGGCAATAGCATACAGTGCAGTAAAGGTGGCCTCCTCAAAAAGTGGTGCTAGGAGAACTGGACTGGTACATACAAAAAAATTAAACTGGACCACCATCTTATATCACAATAAACTCAAAATTAATAAAATACTTATTATAAGTCATGATGCCATAAAAATTTTAGAGGAAAACATGGGCAGTAAAATTTCAGATGTCTTGCATAGAAATATTTTTGATGATACATCTCCTAGGACAAGGGAAACAAAGGGAAAAAATAAACAAATGGGACTTGTCAAATTATAAAGCTCCTGCACAACTATAGAGGTAATCATCAAAATGAAAAGATAATCCACTGAATGGGAGAACATATTTGCCAACATACATCAGAGAAGAGTTTAATCTCCAAAATATATAAAGAACTTATATGACTCAACACGAGAAAGACAAATGATACAATAAAAAAAATAAGCAAATGGCATGAATAGACACTGCTTTGAGGAGGACATACAGATGGCCCACAGACATATAAAAATGCTTAACATCACTAGCCATCAGAGAGACGCAGATTAAAACCACAATAAGGTATCACCTCACACCTGCCAAAATGGCCATCATTAATACATCAACAAAGAAGAAGTACTGGTGAGGATGTGGAGAAAAGGGAACCCTAGTGCACCATTGGTGTGAATACAGACTGGTGCAGCCACTGTGGAAAACAGTATGGAATTTCTTCAAAAAAATTAAAAATGGATCTGCTTTTTGGCCTAGAGATTCCACTACTGGGAGTATGTCCTAAGAATCTTAAAAGACCAATGAAAAAGAATATACGCACCCCTATGTTCATAGCAGCACTATTTATAATAGCCAAATTTGAAAAAAGTCAAAATGTCCATTAGTAGATGAGTGGGTAAGAAACCAGTGGTACATCTCACACAATGCAATATTAGAGAGCAGTAAAAAAGAAGGACTTCTTACCTTTTGCTAGAGAATGGATGGAAAACTGGAGACCATTATGCTAAGTGAAATAAGCCTGACAGTGAAAGATAAATACCATATGATCTCCCTTATAAATTGAATCTAATGAACAAAATAAGCTAAGAAGGACAAAGAACCAGAGGCATAGAAATGGAACAGACTGAGAGCTGTGAGAGGGAATGGGGAGGTGTGGAACTGGTTGAAAGAAGGTGAAAGGGATTAGTCAAAGACCCTATATGAAAGTCCCATGGACATGGTGTAGAGAAGGATTCTGGGAATGGGATAGGCTGGGTGGAAAGGGGTAAAAGGATAATTGGGACAACTGTAATAGCACGAACAATAAAACATTTTAATTTTAAAAAATCCAGAGCTATACCTTATTTTTTCTATCATGTGTGGTTGAATGAGATACCTTTAATAACACAGGTAATTCATTTTTACATAAAAAGTTATTATTTCTCATTATGAAGTAATACACTTGTTTTAAAGTGATGAGAATTTCAGATAGCAATAAAATTAAAATAGCTGACATGCATAAATTTAATCTAATAACTTGCCCTGGCTGGCATAGCTCAGTGGATTGAGCATGGGCTGAGAACCAAAGTGTCGCAGGTTCAATTCCCAGTCAGGGTACATGCCTGGGTTGCAGGCCATGACCCCCAGCAACCACACATTGATGGTTCTCTCTCTCTCTCTCTCTATCTCCCTCCCTTCACTCTCTAAAAATAAATAAATAAAATCTTAAAAAAAAGCACTTTGTTAAAAAAATTTAATCTAACAACTTGAGGTGTCAGTTCTGCATGTGGACAAAAATATACTACTTTCATAATAATAATAAACAGATAAACTATATCCACAGTATCATTTATTGAAAATAAAATATATTTATATTTGCTAAACTTAATAATAACTCTGTTTTCTCATTTTTGAAAGATTTTATTCATTCAATTTTAGAGAGATAAAAGGGAAGGAGGAAGAGAGGGAAAGAAATATCAATGTGTGGTTGCCTCTCATGTGCCCCCTACTCAAGGTCTGGCCTGTAACCCAGGCATGTGCCCTGACTGGGAATTGAACCAGTGACCCTTTGGTTGCAGCCCACACTCAATTCACTGAGCTACACCAGCCAGGGCTGTTTTCTTATTTTTTATTTAGATGCTTCAGGTAACATCTGAGAAATATGCAGAAAGATTACAAAGCAAGTTATTTTCTAAAAGTTAACAAGCTAAATTAACAAAGAAGTAACTCTTCAAGTTGTTTTAAATATTGCAAATCTAATTACTGCATGTCTCCTCTATGATTGTATAGGGATGGTTATATATGTATCTCCAGAGAAAGCATGAACTTTTATATGGTACTTTATGCTTCTTAGATTTTGTTCTAACCATCTCCAAGTATCAGTATAGTAAAGGCATGGCTCTCTTTTAAGTATTTACTAATGATTTTTGATAAACTGGATCCTTTAAACAATATTCTTTTTTCATATGGTTTACAAGGGAGCAAATAGAGAGTGTGATCTGTATACTTGGGAAAAGATATGACATTTATTTTTTTCAGTAAAACATTTTAAAACTAAAAAATTACTATATTTAGCAATCTTTGGTAGATTAGGAAGTACAGATAATATAAAAAACATATGACTCAAGATTCTGTTAGATAATATTGGTTTTATTTATTTTTTGTTTATTTTTAATGGACCACTTTAAATATAAACAATGATTTCTAACACCAATGTAATATAGCAGCTAAAAACAACAATATCATCTTGATAGCAAGGTCACATATTATGGGTTTGCTCATGTTTCTTCCTCTAGTTTAACATTTTAATTTGTCTTCAATTTCATATTTTAAGGCACATTTTATTTTCCCTTGAGTCTTGCCCTATACTAATTTTCAGAGATGAATTCATAGTTCAGATGATAAAAGAAGTGAAATAAATGGAAACAGAATAAAATAATATGAAATTAAAAATATAAATATGATCTTTGTTCATATGTTATAGGGAACTGGTCCATGTGGCAGTGGCAAATGTAGCTCAGTCCTGGTTTGGAAAACTGATAGATGCAAGGTGGCACACAGGAGCCAAGCCCACAGACTGGCTTTCTTATGGGGAACTAGGACTGCATTGTAATTAGGCTGCATTGGGGCTTGCTTTTGCTGAAACTCCCTCACCCTAAGTTAAGGCAGCAACTGCTTAATGCATATCTTTGAAGTAACTTCCTGAAGTCTCTGCTAAACTTCCCAATGAAGGAGTGTACACAGTTCAACCACTTTCCCCCCTTGAGTTTGCAACATTCTTTTCTTTGTTATCTATAAGAAATAATCAGCAACATCCTTTTCTTTGTTATCTGTAAAAAGTAGTCATCTAAAGCAAACCTAAGCCCATAATGAATGGATCTTATTTGATGTAATGCTCCCAGAAAAGCAATAAAAGCCTGTCCAGGCAAGGGTTGGAATGCTCTCTCACTCAGAGAGTGGCCATGCTGTCCTTTTTCACCACATGACTTCTGCAGTCCATGTGAATTTGTTTATCACATCCACAACACCACAGACACTGCTGGTCAGAGTCTGCACCAATGTGTGAAGATGATTCCTCCAACAAAATTAACTACTAAATTTTTTTCAGTAAAATTATTTAGCTTTTAATTTTATTTTTACTTTTTGGCAATAAAATATAAAATAATTAGAATGTAGAAATAAAGAACAAGCCAAATAGAGTCCTCAAGAATGTTTCTGTTTGGGATGCTTAACTAATTAAACACAAAGTTTGTCTGTAGCTCTATAATATCAGTCATAGATGAACAAACCAGAGGAAGAAATTTAAAATATGAACAGCCAAAATGCTCACACTGCACCATCTATTTGAATTTTAAGTTGCCAGATGGCAAAAAAGACTAACACATGCTTGGAAGAAACCCTCTCATGTGTGAAATGTTGTTTTAAATAAAAGAGTCTACACTGTATTTGCCTTGCAGCAGTTAACATAATTATACAGGAAAAGAGAAACCTAGCCTGTATCAAGTAAGAACATTGTAATGTTAATTGGTGGTTAGTAATTACTTTAATTGATATTTACTTTGAGGGGGTGAGTTGTATGTGAATGTCACAGAAAGAAAGAAAATTAATCAAAGTTATTTCAAATTTATAACTTCTGTAAATAAATACATGAATGTAAAGCTAAGCCAAACAACAGTTAAGCAGCTCAAAGGCACATACTCTCTAAGAGACACACAATAAATACTTGAAATTCAAGATAAGGGGATTCAGTCAAGTCATATATGGACAATCATGGAAATCTTTTTAATTGAGTTTATTTAAAGCAAATATCCCACCCATGTTAATTTCTAGTTGTTTCTCCTCTTTTATTTATCCCTTAATCAATGTTTAAAGTTTTAGTTTTATTGTACATAAAGTTATACTTTCCTTTATTAATCAATTATGTTTGGACTTACTAACCCTTGCTCATTCATGCTTTATACTAAATTGCATATTCCACCTGTGTATTTACAATGTTTGATGGCCAAAAACAGGTAGTTGCATGATTGTTCTTTTAATAGTACTAGAGTTATAAAATTTCAGATGAGGGCTTAAAAACAAGCTATATACAGTCTATATATAGTCTAGATCTTCATATACACTTGATCTGGACTGTACACTGGCAGATAGTACACACTTGATTTGAACCAGAAACATAGATGTGGTAACTTGGAAATTAGAGATGTTTTAGTAATTTCAAATTAGTCTGTTGAAATGTTTCTAATATATTCTAAAGTAGCATATGTTGTCTCTGTAAATAACATAAATACCTACACCTATACTTACTTTAGTGTCCCAATTTCTGTGAAATATGTTCACTCTTGTCAAAAACTCAACAAATAAAATAGTATAACTTAAAATAAAAATATATTTCTATATCTACCAAATAGGTCCTTATCTTCAATGACTGCCATTTCAACCTCATCTCCAGTGATTACTGTGCATGGGAAAGGATCCTGAAGAAGAACACTGATCTCACCAAAGGACTCCTGCTTCTTCAGTTGACCCATATAAACCAGTTTTTTAATTTTTTTCTGTAAGAAACATAGATAATTGGTGTTTAATTAAACCACTTCCATACCATGAATAAATATTATTTCTATCAGAAATGCTGTTCATAGATCATTTTGGTGTGTGGTATTTAAAATAAATTTCAATTTTGTGGAAACCAGAGAAAACATTTACTTACATATATATTTAAATTATACTAGAACAGTAGCAACTTGAAAGACAACTTCAACATGCCTAACATAATTGAAAGCACTGTCATTTAGTGCTATGCAAATAAAATTTTTTAATCTGCCAAGATGTTATGAAAATATTTAGCTTATTCTATTTTTAAAGCTCTAGGATGCCATTTCCATGAGCTTAGGTTAGTATATTTTCATTGACACAGGAATAAATTGGTAAACAGTAAGATTTAAAAAAGAATGAGCGAAACAAGAAAAAATAGTGTAGCCCTCAGAACAGGGCCATGATAGGAACTCTAAAAAGAGGTCAAAATCCAGTATCTAACTTGAAGATTTGACATTTTTTTATAAACAGCAAATCTTTAAACTGACTATCATTAGTGCAGCAGAATTCAGTTAAGTTTGCTTAATAAATTGAATTAATTGAAGATTGCCTGACTAAGTAGGCTTAGTTCTAACTTTTATATCATTATGCATTAATTACTGTTTTGCCTCTTCTAGAACTTCATAAAATGGGCATCACATAGCATGTACTCTTTCAGTTTTGATATTTTTGCCCAATCTAATGTGTTGAGACACCCGTATTCTTGAAAGCATCATTATTTCTTTTCATTGAGATGTGGCATTCCATTATCACACTATGCTAGTATGGCAGAACACACTACAATATTACTGTTTATTCAATTGTTGATGGACATTTGGATTACTTACAATTTTTGGTTTATGAAGATTCATGTAGGATTCTTTGAAGGCATATAATTTCATTTCTATTGAGTAAACATCTAGGGTAAAATTCCTGGGTTATATGTTAAGTGTATTTTAGCCAATCTGATATGCTTATAGTGATATCTTGTTTTGGATTTAACTAGCATTTGTCTGATGAATACAGATGTTAAGCATCTTTTAATGTGCTGATTGGGTATTAGGCACATTGGTCACTGGTATATTGGTCACAATTCAATATATCTTACAACATACCTTACATTCTGGTATCTTACAACTGAGTAATAGGGACAAAAGAATCCAACAAAAAAATTGTCAACAATGATTATAAATTTCATGTAATAAGACAAACAAACTATAAATGTCCAAAAAAGCACATGAAAAGATATTCAACATCTTTTATTCATTAGAGAAGATTAATGGATTAAAGAGAATACATAAGTTTAAAACTTACCACTTTTTTTGACTGTAGTTTCACAAGTCCTACAATATTTCTATAAATGTTACAATGTCCAGAATTAATATAAGCCACAAAAGAAATTATGTTTCCACTTTCCACTATCACTGAAAACAAGAGAGATAATTTGTTATTTTACACATTCTTCTCTATAGGAAATTATTTTAGATATTATGACAAGAAAATGGCATTCATTCATTGATTATAAATGGTAAATTTCTGAATGGATTCCAGTTTATAGGCAGTCCTTAGCATATGATAGAAGTCTACATATGATCTATTTATAGAAATAAGTGTGATGAGACTTTCTCAGTAGAAGCAGTGATGGGCAGTAATCTGGTGGAGGAGATGAAGAGGTGTCTAGGGCAAGCTCTTATTTGTATCATTTGTCAACCTTCATGGTATAAATATTCCTACCACGACTAATTTCAAACTGCCAATGGTTTAACAACTGTCTCAAAAATTCCCTGAATATTTGACAGTACCCACAACCTGACAACAAACCCACCCTAGCACTCTACTAATTACACCAGGGTTTACAGCAATGTCTGTGAGACCACATTAGACTGGTTTAAAACCCTACTCTGCAACTTCCAGTGTGGAACTATATAAATTATATTAATTCTCTTAGCTTCAGGTTTTTCACCTTGAAAATGACAAAACTGAGTCCTGTTCTATACTCAACATGAGGTAATTAAGTGCATATAAAGTACTTAACGTGATGCCTGGCACCTAGTGTTAAATAATAAATCATGCTGTTAATATCATTAGTTTTTTATCAAATTTGTGAAGGAACCCTAAGTCCAAGAAATACTTGAAGATGAACTGGGTAACACCTTTATACCTATCAATGTACATATTAAAAAGCAACTGGAACCTAATAAACAAAACAAAACAAGCAAGTGAAATGCAACCAGAGACATGGAAATAAAAAAACGAACTGACAGTAGTCAGAGAGGAGAGAGGGATAATAGGGGAAGGGCCATCAAGGAACACATATAAAGGACACATGGACAAAACCAAGGGAGTAGTTTAGAGGGTGAGAGGTGGGGATGATTGGGGCAGGGGGGTGTGATGGGGTGAAAATGTAGACAACTGTACTTGAACAACAACAACAAAAAAAGAAAGAAAATATTCTAAATCCTTGGTAATTAGCCCATTAAAATTATAAATAGAGATTTTTGGCCAAGATGGAGGCATAGTGTAGATACACTTTGCCTCCTCCCACAACCAAAAGAAAGACAACAACAAATTTAAAAACAAACAAACAAAAATAACCAGTACTGACAGGAAATCAGATTGTGTGGAAAGTCTGACAACTAAGGAGTTAAAGAAGAAACATTCATCCAGACTGGTAGGTGGGGCAGAAATGGACACCCTGAGTGGAGAGGACTCCTGGCAAGGTGGCACTGGAGGACCAGGGCAGGCAAGACAGCAACTGACAGAAAGGGAAGCCCCACATTTCCATGCACATGAACTTGGAGGAACAACTGAGGAGTGAGACAGATTGCTCAACCCAGGATTCTAGTGAAGAGAAATAAAGCCTCAAAACCTCTGACTGAAAAAATCTGTGGGGATTGTGGCAGAAGGATAAACTCTCATCCTTGCAGGAGAGTTCATTGGAGAGACCTACAGGATACTAGAACCTAACCACCCACCTAGGAATCAGCAGCAGAAGGGCCCAATTTGATTGTGGATAGCAGAGGAAGTGACTGAAAGCCAGACAAGAGATGACCAAGAGGCACTGTTTCCTCTCAGACCACTCCACCACACACAGCACCATAACTCAGTGAAGTGGGTTGCCCTGAACTGGTGAATACCTAAGGTTTCACTTCTTACTATGTAACTGGCATGCTGAGACAAATATATATGTATATGTATATATATTGCCCTGGCCCAAATGAAAGAACAGTCAAAGCTCCAAAAATAGAACCAAGCAATGAAGAGATAACCAGTCTATCAGAGGCCCAGTTCAAAACACTAGTAATCAGGATGCTCACAGAAATGGTTGAGTATGGTTACAAAATGGAGGAAAAAGTGAAGGCTATGCAAAGGAAAATGAAGGAAAGTGTACTAAGAACTAAAAAATGAGTTATATATAACACAAGAAAAACTATTGATGTTATTAAAATAATAAGCTTAAGAATAACATAGCTCTTTTAAAATTATAGTTAAAGAACAAGGTAACTAAAGAACAAGGTAACCATAAGCCAAAAAAATTAAAATAATCACCAACATGCAATGGAAAAATACTTTAAGATAAATCAAGTGTCATTTCAGTACTTTTGTTGACATGTATATGAGAATATGTAATCTCCCTTTACTCATATAATATTCAGAGATCCAAGTTTAAAATAGAAAAATTAAAAGGTTATGCTACTATCAGCAATTGTTCATTTTGCTTAAATAAATTATTGTGGTAACACTTATAATGTCTTATACTATGATTCTTAGAGCCAAACAATGATATTACAAAGTTATCTTAAGGTATCAAAGTACACTACATCTGTAGAATTGTATAAATTGTACAGAGAAGTGAAAGTTTCTCATACATTGATTCATAAAAGTAAAGAGTGATCCTCCAAAAGGTGGTATGACAGTAGAGACTGCTTTTCTTCTTTTAGTCAGTCAAGAAATCAATTGGAAATAACAAGGCATGGAGCATACTGGCAATGTACCAGGTAAGAAAGGATGCACTTATACACTAATGAAACCTTTCTTCTTAATGCCTGGGCTGCACTGCTCTAAGTCTTTCCTGAAAGCTAAGCCCTCTATGGACCACAGGGAAGCACCCATAACATCAAGGAGGAAGAGACCTTGTGTTGAAGGACAGACTACAACAACAAAGCTGACCCACTGCAACCAAACCTATGATGAAGCAATGTCATTTTTTAAAATTAAATCATTTTTACTCTTATTCTATTATACTTGTCTAATTTCTCCCCATTTTCCCTCCTCTGCCTATTCCAATCTTGCTCCCACAGTCAATTCCCACACTACTGTCTATGTCTGTAGGTCATTCATACATGTTCTTTGCCTAGTCCCTTCCCCTTATTTCCACAATTACCCTCCCCCACCTCCCCTCTGGTCACTTTCAGTTTGTTCCATATTTCGATGCTTGTGGTTCTATTTTGTTCATTAGTTTATTTTGTTCATCATATTTCTGTTATAGGTGAGCCCATAGACATATGAAAAGATGCTCAACATCACTAACCATCAGAGAGATGCAGATTAAAACCACAATGAGATATCACCCTGCACCTGCCAGAATGGCCAACATCAATAAATCTGCTAACAACAAATGCTAGTGAGGATGCGGAGAAAAGGGAATCCTAGTGCACTGCTGGTGTGAACGCAGACTGGTGCAGCCACTGTGGAAAACAGTATGGAATTTCCTCAAAAAATTAATAATAGGTCCGTCTTTTGACCCAGTGATTCCACTACTGAAAATATGCCCTAAGGATCTCGAAACACTAATGAAAAAGAACATATGCACTCTTATGTTCATAGCAACACTATTTACAATAGCCAAGTAGGCTGGCTAATATAAATAGCCTAAGTGCCCATCAGGAGTTTATTGGATCAAAAAACTATACTACATTTATACAATGGACACAACAGAAAGAAAGAATGAACTCCTATTTATTGTGACATCATGGATGGAACTGGAGAGCATTATGCTAAGTGAAATAGGGTAGGTGGTAAAAGACAAATACCATATGAACTCAGCTATAAGAGGAATCTAATGAAACCATGTCTTTCTAAGAATGATTGATTCTTCCTAACAATCTTAATGAAGACAATGCATTGGAACTCTTTTCATCTAATCAGTCAAGTTTAATGACAAACTTGTGTTTTTCCACACTTAAATGAGAAATTTTATTTTATTTACTTTTTATTTTTAGGAAATAAAGTTTCTAGACATTTATTTTACTTGTTAATAAATTCCAAATCTTATTAGACTACATTGTAAGGAGCACTGAGAAAAGATAAGGTGTTTTTTTCGCCCTTTTTATATTGTTGTTCAAGTACAGTTGTCTCCATTTTCAGAAATTTTAAATAGTATTGTTGCTTAGAAAAAAGTCATACCTATTGCTTGTGACAGACTTAATGTCCCCTCATTGTGTTTTCTAGTTTTACTGATTCAGCCTCTGGTCCTCTTTCCCATTCCCAACAACTGCCAAAGATGTCAAGATAAATGTTGTAAACTCCTCACCCTTTCCTCTAGGTAACATAGAAAGTGACAGACAACATAGAAATATCCAAAGGATTATAACACAATTTTAATTGAACAGATTTAGTCATTAACTATATAGATGAAATTTTATGCATTATTATTTAAAGGTCATATTCATTAATGTTCAGGAGATAAAGTTTATTTGTATTTAAAATTAGGTTTTAAAGAGCCTTGTTGAAACTCAGACTCATGTTCTAAAACCTAACAGGGGTGTCCAACTTGTGGTCCTCAGCAATGATTCCCTGGCTGGTTGCATGTGGGGGGCCACTGATCTATACCTCTCTCACACATTAATGTTTCTCTCTCTCCCCCTTCCTCCCTCTCTAAAAGCAATGGAAAAATGTCTTTGGGTGAGGAAAAGAAAAAAGAAGGAATGAGCATTTATGTGCAGACATCTATATGGCTAAATAGAGAAATCCTAAATAGAAATGCATATCAGAAGAACTGATCATTGATTGTTTAATTTTCAATTCATGGCACATTGAAATATGTCATTTTCATAATGTACACTACATGTAAAACCCTCATGTATAGTAAGTAACTGTTACATTGCATGAGAAGTAAAAATCTAAATGAACATTTCTCTAATCTCGTAAATCTTTGATTTGAAGAAAAAAGTTACATGCAAATCGATTATTGATAGAGGAAATCCAGAGAGAGATGGATGAAATTTTAAATTTTCAACATGCCTCAGAAATTATTCCAAGAACTTACCAAAATAATACATTTATAAGGTTATTTCACAGAAAATGGCAATGAATGACTCACTGCACAACAGGGCAGATGAAGAAGGGTTGACTTGGTATTAGATCTGGTAGTTCTTCTCTCTTCTCCTCATTCCCCCCACACTTCCCTCTCCATCTCCTAGTG